TTGACTCGAGTGGTCAAACCATTAACCTATTCAATGGTTTTTGGCCATTTTTTAATTTTTGCTGCTAGAACAGGCTGTTCATTCGAACCATCGATCCAAAAACAGGTGGCCAGAACGGTTCCATTTTCTAGTCATATGAGTCGCACACTTGAATGAAATAGCATGCATGATACTACTTAATGGACAACACACACTCAATTTTTTGCTTGTAATTTTTGTGTCAAAATGGGTCATCCGTTCGAACCAAACGGATGAACTGCCGTTCGAACCAACTGGTTCCATTTTACCCCAATCCCGGTCCCTGGACAAAAACCATGGAATCAGTCAACGACCCATTGACCTGAGCGGTCGAACCATCAACCTGTTGACCCGTTCAATGGTTTTTGGCCATTTTTTTTATTTTGGTTGTTAGAACGGGCCATCCGTTCGAACCAGACGGTCGAACCATCAACCCAAAAACTAGTGGCCTAAACGGTTCCATTTTTGGGTCGTATGAGTCACACGCTCGAATGACATAACACATATGATACTACTTAATGGACCTCAAACACTCAACTTTTTGCCTGTAATTTTTGTTGTCAAAACGGGTCATCCATTCGAACCGGACAGTCGAACCATCGACCCAAAAATCCGTGGCCAAAACGGTTCCGTAATTTTTTTCTTGTAATAATTGTTGTCTGAACGGACCGTCCATTCAAATTGGACGGTCGAACTGTCGTTGACATGTTCAATGGTTTTTGGCCATTTTTTTAATTTTTTTTTGTTGTTAGAATGGGTCGTTCGTTCAAACAGGACAGTCAAACCGTCGACCTAAAAACCAGTGGCTAGAACGGTTCCGTTTTTGGGTCGTATGAGTCACACACTCGAATGACATAACACGTATGATACTACTTAATGGACCTTACACACTCAATTTTTTGCCTGTAATTTTTGTTGTCAGAAGGGGCCGTCTGTTCGAACTAGATGGTCAAACCTTCGACATGAAAACCGGTGGCCAGAATGGTTCTGTAATTTTTTTCTTGTAATTTTAGTTGTCAGAACGAGCCGTTTGTTCAAATCGAACGGTTGAACCATCAAACCATCAACCTGAAAAGCGAGTGGCAAATAAGATATATAACATTCGTTATATTTGTTTCTTGTAATTTGAGATTTTTCAATGAAAAATCTTAATATATATATATATATATTAAAGGGAGATACTGCCATTTGGCGAAAGGGGAGACCACCCCTTTCCCTTTAATAGATATACTAGCAGAGGGACCCTACTTCGCAAGGGCTGGAATGGAACCATCGACCCGTTGATCCGTTGACCCGGTCTTTGGCCAAAAACTATTGAATCGGTCAATGTTCCATTAACTCGAGCGGTTGAACCGTCAACCTATTGACCCGTTCAATGTTTTTTGGCCATTTTTTTAATTTTTTCATTGGGAACCATCCAAGCAACCGGTTCTATTTTATCCTAATCTCGGTCCCTAGCAAAAAATCATTAAATCAGTCAACAACCCATTGACCCAGGCGGTCGAACTGTTGACCCGTTCAATGGTTTTTGGTCATTTTTTTTTTAATTTTTGTTGTCAGAATAAGCCATCCGTTCGAACTGAACAATTGAATCGTCGACCCGAAAACCGGTGGCCAGAACGGTTACGTCTTCAGGTCGTATGAGTCACACGCTCGAATGACATAACACGTATGGTATTGTTTAATGGACCTTAGACACTCAATTTTTTTCCTGTAATTATTTTTGTCAGAATGGGTCATCTGTTTTTCTTTTAATTGGGTACCGTCCACTCGTCTAAGCAACTAGTTTCGTTTTAATTGGGTACCGGCCAAAATGGTTCCGTAATTTTTTGCTTGTAATTTTTTGTTGTCATAACGGGTTGCCATTCGAACCGAATAGTCGAACTATCGACCCAAAAACCAGTGGCCACAACGGTTCCGTTTTTGGGTTGTATGAGTCACACGCTCGAATGACATAACACGCATGATACTATGGACCTCACAAACTCAATTTTTTGCCTATAATTTTTGTTGTCAGAACGGACCGTCTGTTCAAATTGGATGATCGAATCGTTGCCCTGAAAACCGGTGGCAAGAATGGCTCGGTAATTTTTTGCTTGTAATTTTTGTTGTCAAAACGGGTCATCCGTTCGAACTGGATGGTCGAACCGTCGGCTGTCAGAACGTTATTAACAACATTTATCAATAATAGTAAGTAATTATACCATTTAATTAAATAATCATTAATGATAGTTTTAATAATATTATTTAGTTATTTTTAATATAAAAGTAAATATTAAATTTATGAATAGGATTTATTAACAATATTCATTAAATTAGTAGTTACCAAAATTAAAATAAATTAACGGTATTTATCAGTAATAGTAATTATAATATTTTATTAAATAATCAATAGCAATACTTTTAATAAAGTTTTTAATTACTTTTAATATAACAATAATTACTAAATTTGTTAACAGTATTTATTAATAACAATATTTATAATTTTAATTTAAAATAAAATTAAAGTAAATATCTATTTATTAACAATATTTTAACTATTAATTATAATCACTAATTATATATTTATTAAATTACTGTAATAATCAGTAATTTATAACAATACTTTTTTTAATAACAGTATTTATAATTTGAAAGTAAATATCTAGTTGTTAACAATATTTATAATAACAGTAATTATTAATTATAATCACATTATATATTTAATAAATTACTGTTATTATTATAATCACTAATTATACATTTAATAACAGTAATCATCTTGTTGTACGGAGAGAGCATCCCAATATATATATATAAAAGATATAAGATGCTGGGTCTTAAACTTAGCCAACTGACAAATTGATAATGCAAGAAAAATTAGAGATCGATCGAATGCAAATAGAGACAACAACAAGGAACCGATCGACCTTGTTCCATTTGCCTCAAAATAATCACTAATCAAAAGATGGACTAGTGCCAATCTATATCATGTATTGGGTTATGATATCATAGTGAGTGATTCATATGATATGACAACATTAATTGACGATGGTATTTCTCATCTACCATCATAACTGATTTGTTTGAGAGTAGGAGAGGTATTTCTCATCTACCAGTACATATCGTATTGGTGATCCCTCAATATGCCCTTACAGTGGACGTTTTGCGGTCTGACCTGGTTCAAGAGTAGACGTACGCCTCCTTAATTGACCCAGAAGAAAAATCTAAAGAACCTTTTTTTTTGTCTGCCCCAACCCCAACCCTTCCGGTCATTCAATTTATAACAGATTGCTTCTTCTCATTCTCATGGGTGTTATAATAGGTTCAACCTAGAAGCTCCAAATGGCGATAGCCCATCAGTGAAAAGATTAATTGTACCTATGATCGACCCTATCAATCAATCTCAGACTGCAAAGCTAAGCTTTACAATAAATATTTCTGTAGTCTGAAATTTGTTGTAGCTACTGAAGCTTGAATACAACCTCGAATTAACCTTGTTGTCTCAACTCTCAAGAGGGAAAATTTGACAATTGGATACAACTCAAATCTAGAGAAATTTTCCAAGTCTTGACACCAACAATTCCCCACTGGACTCCACAAGTCAGAAGCAAGTGAAGTGTGCCATCACAAAATGCAAATGGCTCTTAAAAAAATCATTTTTTCTAGGCTGCCTCATTTTCTTCCATGTTTTCCACTTCTCTTCTCCGATGCCACATGCAACAAAACAAACAACTTTGGAGGCAACCGGCAACAAAGCTTTTGAAATGAGTGGCTTCTGGGCCATTCAAGTTTGGGAGAATGACTGTTCAGCCCATCTTAGAATTTTTAGCTTTATCGTACAGGTGAGATGAATTCTGACCGTGGATTGATGTTAAATTTACGGGCATGATGCCGTTTATTGGGGGAAGGGGGGCTACTAATAGACTATGGGGGCTGTAATTTCATAATTCTACAGTGAGCTGCATTATATTTTTTCCATTCAAGTTAAAGACTTATACTCCACTAAGCCTGTTTGGTTCATAGTCAGAATCAGAATTAGAATCAAAATCAGAATCTCTTGGATTCGGAACTAGAATCCTCTATTTCAATGCTTACTATTTATTTACATTTTATTAAGAATTTATTATTAATATATTATTATTATTATTTTACTACTGTTTTATTAATATTAAGATTTAATTTTTTTTTGTCAGAAATTATTTACTTCTTGATAAGACTCTAAAACAAGGCAGTTGAAATGGGAATGATCAGACAAATGGAACCAAATGGGCGACACTTATTACAGAAAACCAAATGGACCCTAAGTTCCCGTTTAGGAGGGCACAGCTTCTAGGGTTGCAAGTTAAATTCTACATGAAAAAACTGTGAAGTCTGGTTTGATTTGAGGGAATAAGGGTTTGGAATGGGAATAGGAATGAACCATTCCATTTCCAACTGTTTGATTGGGTGGATCAGAATCTCACTCCCATTCTTGATGGAATGACATTCCCCCATTTGAGAGAATAGCCATTCCCTCCCCTCCCTTAGAAATGAAATCCCATTTCTGCTGATTCCAATTTACATTCTCATTCCTGTCTGAACCAAACAAACTATGAGAATAGACCATTCCAATTCCAATTCTGATTCCGAAAGATTTTGATTCCAACTGTGAACCAAACGGACCCTGAAATTGGTTTATATGAACCAAAAAAGTAAAAACCAATTCGATTTTTTACTTATAACCTAAGGTTCGTCAAGGGCCTAGGCTGAAACCCAGTTCAACCCAAAAAATTTTAATTCCCACATTCGTAACAATGAATCGTTTGTATAAATCCAAAAAAGCAGATTTTGACTTTCTCGATAACCATTACCTGGTGAGGACTGAGGACTTGAGGAGGATTCCAATCGTTTTAAGTATATTTCATATTTCCTCATTCTTTCATCTCTAATCTTCGACGAAAGGGATGAGTTGTAGATGGATAATGCGCCATCACCATGGATGGTTGCCAAGAAATTGTATGTACTACAAAAAACTTTTCAGTGCGATATAGATACCATATATACCAGAAGGAAATACTGTTGACAATAACTTGTGCAAGTGTATCACAGGCACAGCACTTTTCAGTGTGAAACTTCAATGTCTGTTTAAATAGAAAACAATCTGGTACAACTCATATCTGAGACAGCACAACTGCATAGCCATTGTGAAACTTATTTATTTAGCGGGGGAAATAAAACCTCTGCATCACAATTCACAGGGCACAGCACTTTCAAGAGATACCCAATAGCTTCTTTATATCCTTCTGCACAATAAGATGAGATGCAGGGACAAAAGAAATACACCATCCATTAGATTATAACAATGTCAACAGGTAAATTAATGAAAAGTCGGTATCAACCCATATCAACATCTGCAAACAAAATCCAAGTTAATAAACCGATACTTAATTATATACCTCTATGCTAAGAGGAGAAGTCGTTGGAGCATATCGGTCGATCACATGCCCCTCTTTGTCAACCAGGAACTTTGAGAAGTTCCACTTAATGCTGTCTCCAAAAATCCCACCTTTGCTTGACTTTAAGAACTTGTAAATGGGGGCTGCATTTTGACCATTCACATCAACCTAATCCAAGATAACAAAACCAAATTGTTAGAGTAACGTGGTTCCTTCTGGATATAGAATGTCTTTGCTCTCATTTCCAACTTTTGGAGGTTTTGGGGACGGCTATATTTTGTGGTCTTATCCAACTTTCCCTTTAGATGATTGATACCAGTAACTTTATTTGTCATAGGCTCACAAGGACAAAAACCATAGACATACAGCAAAAAAAAGGAATTAAATACAGAACACAATGGTCTTTTACTTCCTTCACAACAATGTTAATTTTCATTGTCTTTCTTGATGACTCATTTTCCAGCAGGGTAAACAGCAACTAAGCATACACGTTTCACTGGCATTGGCAATCACAAGGAGAGTTTTAAGCATAGGGAATGTGATGGAGAGAGCAAAGCATTGCAAAATAAGCTAGCACGAAAATTTGACTACGATTCTTGACAAACATTTATGTTTTATGTGCTCAGTTTGATAGATGATTTGTTTGTACTTTGGAGTCAGTCTATTTAGGCTCCATTTGTTTGGATTGTGCAAATCTGAACCAGATACAAATTGTGCACCCGGTTCAGTTTTGCATCCATTTGTTTGTAACTATGGTTTACACTCCTACACTCCTAACTGATGCAAAATTTGTACTTTTTGTCTCATTTGCACCACTTTTCTCGTACCTTAATTCTATCACATCATCTACCTGACTCCCAATCAAACAATCCTTCTATTTCATTTTCTTCCATATGAGGTGGAGACAACATCATTTTACTTTCTATTTTACTTCTTGCAAACAAATTAGGCAAAGTCAAATCTGAAGCAAAAGCAAACCAGAACTAACACTCAACGTATTTGCACTCCCATACATTTACACCAGTACAAATGATCACACTACAAGCTGAACCTTAAGGATTATGACAAATTGATCTCTCAACTAAGAATATCACCTTTAGATTAAATAAATAAACCATGTCACTTGTGCTTCAAATTATAAGATTTGCTCATCTAGGTTATTTTATGATTTTTTTGATAATGTATTTTATGATTTAAGATTTTACCCCATTATTTTAATATTGCTCTTGGAGAGATAACATGGTAGGAGGTAAGATGTTTTCATTGCCTGGCAGTTGATGTCTGATGCCTGCAATCAGGCTAGTTTTTCTACTGGCACAAAAATCCCTTAGTGGTCCTATTCTAGTGACCTTATTCTCTTGATTACTGAAATTTTGGATTTCTGCTGGTTACAAAGTTCAACATAGATTTAAAAAAAAAAAAATCAGTCTAGCCACCAATTTCCTACCTCTTCACCCCTATGATAATTTCTAAAAGCCCTAACTAGTACACTCTTTTCCACTCCCCTACTTGTAACCCCCACTTCCATTAAAAAAAAAAGGAAAAGGATAAAAAGAAAAAAAAATAAACTAAACCACTTTTGCTTCTTTCAGTGGAAGTTAAATACATAAATCTCATGTCCAATGGTTTCCATTCTTACTTAATACAGTTAACTGTCTAACAGTCTTTGAATCTCTTTCTGGATCCAGAGGCAGGGGATTTTTAGTTTATGCATACATAGGGCATGGTGAAGATAAGGAAAGTCTAGAAAATGTGTTTTTTTTTTTAATGAGACTTTTTTGTTTCATGATTATGTTAGTCAATCTCTGCTAGAATTCAACTTGGGCTGTTTTCTATCAGATATCAGTTCCAACAGTTGAACAATCAAACCATAACCTTACCAAAGACTAACTTGAAAACTAAACTCAGCCAATTCAATCAACCCTACCACAACCCAACTATGGTCAAAGTAGACCTGGATTTCAGAATGATATAAGAAAGAAGACAAATAAATAAGGACATAAAGACTACTGTTTCAAGACTTGTATTCAAATGCTTTTACTCCTAACATAGTTCATGGTGCTGACAGAAATACTCTTGTGAGTTTGGACTTCAGATAAAATGCAGAATCTCATAATGTGATCTAATGGAGATCCTAGACTCTGCGTAGGGGTCTTCACATTCTATTTGTCACACTATATTTGCAGTCACAAGAATATTTACATCTAAGGTGTTTCCCCAAAAAAATAATGAAACTTTAGTAGTTGATTAAGATGACATGGGTAAGCTAATTGGATATCCAACACAATCTCTATCACAAATAAATTCAAACCAAGGGAAAAAGAGAAACCCGCTATTTGCTTGTAGTAGTCAGTAGTCTGAAAACCACAGAAGCATTTTGTCTGTTGAAACAAACCTTAAAAGATCTTTGAGCTCACCTTATCAAAGATTGGAAACTCAGCCTTGAATCGAGTGCAGGAAAATTCTAGTATCTGCTCATTAGTCCCTGGCTCCTGATGACCAAACTGATTGCATGGGAAAGCCAATATTTCCAGACCTGCACAAGAAACCGACAAGGGCAAGTTCATTTCAAAAGTAAAGAAATGAGATAAAATCCCTTTGTCTGTACAAAATTAGTATCCTAGAAAGCAACCAATGCATGAAAAAAGGAGTATGCGTTTATGTATGCAAACCATATGAAATAAGAAGTCAAAGGCCAGACCTTGATCTTTGTACTTCTCATATAGCGTACTCAGCTCCGTGTAGTTCGAATTGGTCAATCCACTAAGGAACAATTAAAGAAAAGTTATATGAATAATACATGTGGGAGAAATTGTATATATATATATCATTCTCTAAAATCCTAAAGTCTAATTTGGATCAAACTCCAGGAAGTGTTGAAATAATAACAAAAGAAACAAACAAGAGACTATAAGATATACCACTGGGATGCCACATTGACAACCAACAGAACCTTTCCCTTGTAAATGCTAAGATCCACATCATTTCCCCTAGCATCCTGCAAGTAAAAGAAAATCCAAAATGTAATGAGAAATATAAGTAGAGAAAATAAATAAAACAACGTGAAGAGCTGCACAAATACCAAAGACCAACATCATTAACAAAACTAATCACAACAGGTTTCTGGATTTTTGCCGTGAGACCAAATACCCAACTGAATCCAAATTCAGTTGTGAAGACTGAATCTAAATTCCCAGTAATGACCGTAATATAATCACGAATCAAATGAAAGAGCAGTTTCGGAAATTCAAAAGATAACCAACCCAGTAATACAAAAAACAGGCTTGAAGGGGAATATGGGGTGAGGCACAGCCCTTTGTTATGTTACTCCTATCGGACTCATCAATCCCAAGCTTCATCCAGAAGTTATAATACTAACAAACCCATCCCCTGTTACTGCTTCCGAACAGATCCTCATAGAATTCAAAAGCAGAGAGAGAAAAACCATGTAAGTAAAACAACAGTAAATTTATCACAGATTAACAGGCTACATCAATAGCCAGAAATCCGTGCTAACAATCAAGAAAAGAGAAAAATGGAATTAGCAATTAAACAGCCCACCCCAAAATTCTGAAGTAGAGACAGACCAAATAGAGAAAAAGAAAAAAAAAATACTAACATCACATAAAATTTTCAATTGAACAAAGAACCAGCACCGAACGAAAAGACTAACCTTGACAGTGAAGTCGTGAATAGATCCTTTCTCCTTCTTCGATTGGCTTGCCATCGTAGAAGCTGAAAAAAGGACGGGTTTTGGGGAGAAAAAACTCAAAAAGAATGGCACGATAGACTGCGGAACAACAGAAGCAGATAAAATGGGTGGCTTAGAATCGAAACAAAATTGCTTAAATATACCGAAAGAAGTAGAGATGGTAGACACCACGACTTCTGCAACTTAAAAATGCGAGCTGGGGAAGACAAATGACAAAGCATAGAAAGGTCCGCAAGCAAGTGGAAGTGAAGATATATGTTTCCGGAGTTCAAATCATCTCTCCGCCGTGTATTGAGAACATCTTTAAATGATGACATCATCATTTTTAATATCTGATTTTGATCTCTTATTTCGGCTTTATTCCGATTATTTTGTAAAGAATTTAAAAACACGTGTCTGTGTCTGTGTCTGTTAAATATGTTTACGTGGAACATGACAGTCCACTACCGGTCTGTTCTACTTAACCTTGCTTTGTTAATTGTTGCGTTCACACTTGCCTTTGCCTACTCACCTACTATTTTTTTAATGTTCAAATTTGAATTGAAATTGGATATTAAAAAATTAATAAAATAAATTAAAGAAAGTGACAATTAAGGTTGTCAGATCCGATCTTATCAGTCGGACAGATTAAGCCTTTCCGTTTTTATTAATTTTCTTTTTTTAGTATTTTTCATTTTAGGCTTATTTATAAAGTTTAAGCCTTTCATTTTAGTATTTTTCATCTTATCAGTCGGACAGATTGACGTGTCTTTCCGTGAGGTTTTTGATTATTTATAAATCAAGAAAACCAATTTTCAGTCTATTTACATTTAGCATACGTTAAAAAGACACGACAAGCTTATTTTAGATTGATTTAAAAAAGTTATAAATAAAAATTTTCACATCTTTCGCATTTTATTTTCACGCATAAAAAATACGCATCTGCCAAATATACTTCAAACTGTTCAAACCTCTATGCAGAAACTCAATATGTCTTTTGTCGGTCAAACTACCAGAAAATCTTGTCAAAAAGACGCGTTAAATGGGCCAAAAGGTCTGGTCAAAGCATTTGACCAAAAAATTTAGATATCTAGAAAGAATCTAACAACACTGGGTTGGAATTGGATTGCCCCAGAAGGTAAACCCAAAGGAACCGTTTGAACATAAAATTTAGACATATAGAAAGAACTATGGCTGGACCATGACCCAATTTACAAGTGTCATAACACCATTTGATGTCCTCGGTAATTATCACATGTGACGTTTTACTTTGAATCTTCATGAGAAGGGGTATAAACAATAATCAATGGCAATGGTATTCTCCACAGCATATCAATCAGGGAAACTACACCAATTCCTCAACATCTAAAAGTCACTCAAAACAAGATCGTAAAGAACTAACTATACACAACCGACGACACCCAACACCCATAATAGCAAGCTCACCGGAACACCCAAGTGTCAAGTGTGTATCTGATCTACATTCTCACAACATACTATCTGTCCTTGCAGGCAGGCGCCGGAAGAAGTTGATTGGCACCGACGGCAACTTATGGCGGAACCTTGGGTGTCTCATCCAATATATTCCGATCACAACCGCCACCACCTGAAAAGGTGTCACATACAACACCAGTGCTGCTATGAGACAGAACATGACGAAGATTGCCGTGGCGCGTGGATCCCGCCAGCTTAGCAATGCCTGAACCCTCTCTCCCTGGGTTGCTATGTCCCCAACAACCGTCTGTACCCTTCCTGCCACACTCCTCAGCCTGTCATACCTCATTCGCACCAGCTCTTGACTGCGAGATGTTGGGAATGTATCAAACTCCTCGTCAAGCTCATCAGGATGCAACCCCTCGGCACAAGATATCCGTGTGTTCATATGTGGGGGATAACGCGGCCGGTACCGGAAATTCCATAAGCCTATGAGAAACATGTACAAGAATACAGTTGGAAGTATCAGTTCTGGGAAGCAGACAAACATCACATAGAGCACATGCACAAGCACAGTGGTGATTGGATTCTTCCAGATACAGACATCTCCCAACCATTTACCAACTGCAAGCAAACCCGAGAAAACTGCAACTATTCGAAAGAAATTTGCCTTGCTCCGCCTCATGCTCCACATATGGGAATCCACATCAGACATATACTCCACCACCTCCTTCCGAAGTGGGGGCTCTGCCCTGCTCAGACGTGCTGCCACAATGTTCACAGCCTGTTGACGCAGCATGTCAAGCTGCATTATTGTTAATGGTCGTATATAATGCATCTTCGGCAACAATGGCCGTGAGTATATAAACATCATGTTCATCGTCGACGTGCATGAAAAACGTATTGCCATATGCAACTCCCCCATTTTCTTAACACCTGAAGGGTGCAGGACTAGCAATGGGTAAGAGTGTGTATACACTCGACCTGCCTCGAGTGTAGATATTCGTATCCTTACTTTCCCGATCTTGTTATCCTTGTTACCACCACCATCTGTACCCTTTTCCCCTAGTTGGCTGTTGTCGAATACACCTACAATAAGAACTGTGGCTGGATCATACACCTCCCAGGTATACTGCTCGTTGTATTTTGGGGAAAGGCTGTTGATGATGGTACGTGTACGCACCCATTTATGGCCATACTTTGCTACACAGTATGTGTCTGATGTACCCTTTCTGTCTCTTGTCTTCATTGGGTGAAGCCCGTCTGCATTCAGAATCCCAAGTTCCAGTACTCCAATTGATGGCTTCCATAGCTGCTTTGCTGTGGGACGAAGGTCACTACTATAGTGTGTCGACTCATCAAGCACGTGGTATCCGCCATCAAGACAGACACGGAGGTGGAGACGGCTGGAGAACTTATCCTTCTTCAACTGATCTACATCAACCGCAGCATCTGGCTTTTCAAGGTGGAACCAACGGGTGTGGATAAGCCGATCATCTGCACGCTTTTCAATTGAGTTCAGAGGTATGATCACCCTCCCAATTAACTCATTTTTGTTTGGCCCAACACGATCTTCAACTGAAAGAACTAAATGATCTTCAAAGGGTTCAGCAGCAACAAGTAGCATATCCTCATTCCAGATTGGGCTCATCGTCCGGGCCTGAACAGTCTTTGTTTTTAACACCTGGTTGCCAAGCTGTACCTTGACATACACCTCAGGGAAACGATTCTTCTCGGTTGGAATGACATCTTGTGCCTCTATAACATTAACACGTACATACCATAACCTTGGTGCATGGTAGACCTTCGAGCGGATGTATGTGGAGGCAGCTGCAGAGCTATCGGTAGGGGTCACTGCGTCAGAATGCCATGCATCAGGGAATGCTTCATCCGCTTGCGTGCCAATCCAGACAGCAAGCATCAACTCGCCTTTTGTCTTCTCTCCTTTCTTATCTTGAAGCCGGTACCACTCTGGAGCCAATGGACTATCTGGGGGAACTCTAATAGGTACCTCGTTGAGGTCAAACATGATAATGCCAACGAAATCATCTTTCACAAGATCCTTGTCCTTGACCACAACTTCCAGTACAGATGATTGCATCCGGTCCCTTGCAAAGGCAAACACCTCATTCCATTCGGGGTTTTGCTTTTTCTCAAAGTGCCTTGTAACTCCTTTATAGTTTCCAACCTTGACTTCCACATATGGGTCAAGACTTCCTGTAATGTCCATGGGTGGAAGCTCCCGGGCCTTGACAACTCGTACAAAAAGGAACTGCATCTGCTCCACTAGGTCATAAGTGCTAGCAGGCTTATCTGCACGTATAACACGGCCACCAACAATCTGTCCCCCTCCAAGGAATGGACTGGTCTCTTTAAGTGCATAGTCAACAGGTTGGGATGCTGTTTCCGAATGCATCCTAACAATTTTTACTGGTTGTGGTGGTTCAGCTTTCATCTCATCGACAGTGTATTTCACTGGTTCGGTCACTGGTGCCGTAGAATGTTGTTGCTGTTCGTGATTCAGATTAGGGAGGTGATGGAAAGTGCGTCTTGACTCAGCTTTGTCATTGGAGAGTGGATTTGGAATTGAATCTGCAACTGATTGAGCTTGTGTTGGAGCTTGTTTTGGGCGTGATTCAAAAAGTGGGATGGCTTCCATTGCAGGAAGAGGGTTTGATGATTTTATGGATGGATCATCAGTGATGTACACTTTCAGACCAAGCTCTCCTTTCACACGAGAAAATATGCCACGCTTTTCTAAAGGGTAATGCAAGACAACAGCATCAGAGTAGGGGACAAATGATGTCCCAGTGAGACGGACCTTCCCAAGAAAGGATCTAGAGTGGGTGGCTTTTATGTTGTTATAAACATAGGCATCCAGAGAAAGGTTCTGGATGTTGCTCGGGTCAGAGATATTGAAATAAAAGCTTTCATTCCAAACAGGATTAAGATCTTTTTCTTTGGTGGTGGTACGGAACCTCTGGCCATCAAAATGGAGCTCAACAAAGGCATTGGATGAGCCCTGCCCATCTTTGGGTATCAGGTTGTGGGCACTCACCACTTCCACACCTAGTTTTAAGTTGCTCATGGTGGATTTGTTTCTTGTCTCAACTTTTTATGCTATATACAGCTGCTCGGAAGGGCCAGTGATGGGATTATTGACTGGCTCAGAAAGATAATTGGAGACTGCTGGCAGCTGAAACAGAGAAAACAAAAAGTTTAGTGATAGTAACCAGTCAAATGCAAGGTAGCTGGAACCGGAAAGCAAACAATTGTGGAATTGGTTAAGTAATAAAGGTGGTTTTTTTCATTGAAATAAAAAACAACGTGAACAGTACACAAAGCAACTAATTAATTCAAATGTGAGCAAATGGAAAGTGCAGTCTACATGGTAAACACCACAGACAAAACATTGTGTGTCATAGAAAGTATTGAAAATTAAAATGCAGTCTACACTGTCAATTCTGATGTGAATACCATGTAGAGAGCTGTTTTTTATCAGCTTTAGCAATCAAAGGCATTTTACTAATGTAGCATACAAAACCATGACACTGGTATTTCTTCTTGAAGCCATTCAATTTGAGCCCTTTGAGAAGTTTTTCAGAACCCCTCAGTCATAAGGGAATCACCTCAGATGAGCCCTCATGGACATGGGGGAGAACTAACTAGTTATTAGTTATTATGACAAAATGGTATACAAAAGAAAGTACTCCAAACTACCCAGAGAGGGAGAATTATGCATGAAACTTCAAGGTTCTCCAGCATTTTGCAGCACATATTTCAGTTTTGCAATTGAGGCTGTTAACACCATGATTCAATTCTCAATGGCATGCTTTCCTACAACTATATTACCAGTTTCAGGTGCCAGATAAAATAGGTCATTATTCAAGAATTAATAACTGGTGAAAAGGTATATGATTATGCAAAATAAAGTTGCTAAGATGACCATTTCAATAAGCAGTCAATATGACAAAGTAAATTGTACATGGTGTAAGTCTTTTAACCAGCCCCCAGTAGCCAAACTAAATTGCTAATATGACCCCTTCGTATTTTATTAATATTTTTCAAATAAACACCTTACCTAAAAAATAAGGCAAACTATACAAATCAACACCAAACCCTCAGCGAAACTACTGCTAATGATATATAAAAGAAATGCAAGACTCGCCACATAGAAGAAAAGCTACAAATAAGAATAAAAAGAGATGAAAACTAAATTAGCAAATTAAGGGAAAAAAAAAGCTATTTTTATAATTAATAGATCAAAGACGCATCATGACAGACTGGATCCTACACTATTATTTGAAAAATGGTTGAACAGCAACAGAGTCTATCTCCTACACGTCTCACCCACTAAACTCAGATGCAGCAGATACAGTGATTAATGGGAGTTGTTAATCACTAAAAATATGGGCCATCAAGATAAAGAATATACCTAGGTGAACATTTAGAACAAATGGATTAAAAGGAGATACTTGGGTTTTCTCTGTCAAAAAAAAAAAAAAAAAAAGAAACTCAAGAAAGGCGCATGCTAACAAAAACCCAATCTGCAATTAATTGGCAAATACCAACCACAAACTTGGACATAATGTATTTTATCCATTTCCAGTAACAGTTTTGGGTATAGATGAGCAAAAAAGAGATAAAATGAACAAAAGTAAAATCAAGGTCCCCACTCCCTTTCTTTCACTTCTATATTGTCTGTCAATTTTTTCCATGAAGTTAAAGTATACTTTCATTCATGTATATGACATAATCTTCAGCCGCTAAGCAAGCTTCTTGCAAATCCAGAAAAAAAAAAGGATGATCCTTTTTCAAACCATCATCTAAACTCACTCAGACCGAGCTCCAACCTAGAGGGAAAAACAAAGATAAAATAAAAAAGCAAGAGAATATAAAAAATTAAAATTAAAAAAAATAAAAGAGACATTCTACACTTTTGACATGAATCACTTAAAGCAAATTCCACGAGCATAAACTTAATTAGGTTAATTCGGCCAACTATACAAAAGAGAAATCAGAAATTCCAAAGATCACATCCTGAATCCATTAAGAGCAAAAGAAGGGAAAATTTTTCACCTTTTCAGTAATTCTGTTAAGGTCTAGCAGATCATAATCGAAAATCAAGACGAGTGAATGACAGGGCTTTGTCTTCTCCGGATTATTTAGTTAACGAAGAAAATATGAGTTTCCAGTGTTTGGGAAGTAAAATAGAAAAGAAAGAAGAAAAGGGAAAAAAAAAAGAAATGTATAACAGAAAACAAAACGATTTCTCGTGGAGCTCTCAGCAAAACACAGGAAACCAAACTGCAGAGGAGTAAACTGGCTTTGACATAACATGATCTCTCTCAACTAATGTTTCATAGTTTCTTTAATATTAAAGATCCTTATTTACAGAAGAACTAATCGAACATCGACTTGTTCAAGTTTCAGATGTCAAACTAAACCGATTAAAGGTATGGAAAGCTTCGTTCTATAACCATCTTAAATTCAATAAACATAAAACTAATGATCAACGAAGCATGCTTTCAAGACTCCACGTTAACGAACATACAAAAACACAAGATTCAGAAAGAGCAAGCCCTTTGAGCTTACTGGTCAAACATCAACGGAAAGGATGAAGAAATTTAAAAAAGAGTCACCTTTATTCACCTTTTTTGTTCTGGTAGTTTAAGTAAAAAGAAGGAACCTGTCACAGAAAGAAGGAGAAGTGCGGAGCCACATAAGAGAAAGAAGATACGGAGAAGAGGCGAAAAGAGAAATGAAACCCTAGGAAATGGTTCTGCTTCTGCGATGGTTGGCAGAGAGAGAGAGAGTCGTGTCAAAAACGGGAAAGATCAAATTTCAGGGCAAACAGGGTCTTGTATTGCAGTGGTCGTGGTTGTCCTTCCTTCCTAGTCCAGTCATGGACCTCCCTCCCTCCTTTTTATTTTGTTTTAAATTGAAGGGTATATTTCTGGTAAGTAATCAATAATTTGCGTAATGAGTAAATGCTATTTATATATTTCCATTCCAGCTTTTCGACTCTTCCATTTTATTTCTATAACCGTAAATTGTAAATGTGTTTTTAATTTCATATTGAAGTAGCGTTGTGAAATGATATTGTGAGTGGGTAACAGATTACTTAGCAGTCACGCCAGTCGCCACCAACGGCTCGTTCTCAAGTCTGAAGAGTCTCAACGAAAGAAACCGTGTGTCTATTCTTTTTGGGTAGCTGCTGCTCATGTCATCCATCAGTCATCTCTTTTGAATGGAAATAGCAGAAACGCCGCACAGGACGCCCGTTGTTCGCTGCGGTACGGGACGGATGGCTAAGGAATGGGTAAGAACAATTGGATTTTGGAATATTCCATCCACTGGTGGGACTGGGAGCGAAAATAATAGCCTCAAATATCAAGGGCTCTGATTTATTGTTTCGGCGCAGGGCTACGACAGCAATTGTGGGTTCAACTTCTTCTGGCACACGTGGCTGTTGGAGATTTCTTCAAAGAGTAAGGTGATGCGTCCACGTTTCTGAATTCTGAAATGCATCTTTAGATGTCAACGGGTGGGGTTCGGACTTCGGTGCGGGTTTGCCTAAATGAAGAGGGGTACCGATTACCGAATCCGCCCCACCCCCGACTCATGTAACATAGTACCTACATCCAATTGATTTGATAGATGCCTTATTAATGGGTCGGGTCTGTACGAGCTCACCCCAACCCGAACCCGATTACTCTTCTTCACTTTCTTTTTTGATTTAATGAAATCTTTTCTTACCAATTTAAAGTTTCATATGGATGTTGGGTTTGTTTTAGTGATGCCTTCTATAGTTCTTATGACCACGACATTTCCTGGTTCCAAAATTTGTTCTACACATAAAATACAATAAATTAATTAATGGAAGGAAACTGAGCTCTCTCTCTCTCATAGAATCGATTATAGGCGAGCAAAGAGTATGCTGTTCAAAGAGATTGATTGGGGATGGACATGGATATCACATGGACATGGATTCCACCATTGACAAATGACAATTATTTGTATACCATTCAATAAACTAAAATTGAGAAAATCCAATAATTTCTATGAAAATTTATTTTCAATCACAAAATAAATGGATGAATGCACCTCTTCATGTTGCTTTCTTTCTTGGGTTCTCAACCTTCCCTTGACTACCATTTTTTTTTTTCCTTTATATGTTGTTGCCGTCCATTGAATAGGTCTAAACTTTAAAAAATGACGGTTGATGGTTTTTGTACGGTGATGATTGTTCTTGCCGTTGGTTTCATTTTTGCATTCTAAGCATTATTTTAATTAAAACAAAAAAAAAAAACTTCTGGCTAAACAGTTGGAAACAAATCTGCCCTCATGACAACAAGGGAACTACAAAGTAGACGAACGGGACCAAGCAAATCCACAAAGCATCAAAGCTTCTTCTGAACATGTGCATATACCTTATATTTGAGATTGTTGAGTTATTGCATCTGGTGGCATTCCTTCATGAAGTTGCTAATATTGTTCCATGGGGGGCTCCATCTTCTTATGGAGACAGTTGATGATAAAGCTCGAATGTGTTGGGGGAATTCACATATAATTTGATGAGCTTCATCACTGGCAGCCCATGTTTCGGTTTCATTTATCGACCATTCTCTTACATCCCTGCAAGAGACATTAAAATTTATTTTGAACTCCCTTCTCCCCGGTTTAACAATAAACCTTAATGTATTCATCAAAATCAGACCTGATTCTTGCTCCAGTTATTTTGGTGGGGGGGATATATATACTGATCGTTGAAAATCTTCTCATTCCTTATTTTCCAAATATTCCAGAGAACAAATCCAGCTTTTTTAAATCAAATTCATACATTTTTGCTGCTATATTAAGACGGATCCTATGCCACCATTCCATAAACAATTCATTAGAATTTGGCGTAATTCCATTTACCCCTACATTTTCTCATACTTGTTTCGAGTGTTGACAATACATAAACGAGTGTTCAATATCTTCTTCTTGTCCACAGAAGGGACAATCGGCCTCAACTCTTAAACCCCAGGTCCCATCAACCGGTAGGCTGTCTTGATTGAAAAGTTTCTTTTGGGATCAGGTTTCCAAATCATGGAATCTTGCTAGTCTCTAATTGGGATTGGGATGGCTCTAATTTTTTCCCCATAGGTTCTGAGGAAGTAGGATCAATATTTTATTATTGTTCTAAGATTTTCAGTCATTAATGATATTACTTACCATTAGGTTTTGATTATGATCACTTGGAGTGCCAAAACTTTCTAACAGAAGGGTTTTCCACTCAAACATCTTTTCAAAAATTGATAGACTGGCCATTTCCTACCCTCCAAGAAATTCTTTTTTTTTTTTTCTCTACTTTTTAGTACTCCCCTCCAAGCCTAGGAGATGTTCTTTTCTTAGTCAATCTGTCAAAAATCTTCATTGTTCATAACTTCGCTAAACTCACAACATTTATTCTTTATTCTGTTAGGATTAAACTCTGAATTACCGATTAATTAGTATGACAATCTAAAAAACAATTGAAAAATATGTAAATTATAAAGTAAATAATAAAAGCGAAAGCAAAAAGTAAAGATGACACCAGATTTATGTGATTCGGTTAAAGTGACTTACATCCACAGGAGAGGGAGGAGAACTTGTTTTATTGATGTCTTTGATGAGGGTACTACAGAATGGCCACCTTAATAGTGCCGGGGATGCTTCTAACGAAGCCTTGACGCACTCCTTGGCATAGACTGCAAAGGCAGAGAAACCAGTAGATAACAATATCAAATAGAATTGCTTCGATCCGAATGGGTTTTCGGCCTGAGTTCAACTGATACTGTAAGTAACGACTATTACTGGTGAGAGTTTCTGGGACAGGATTCACAGAAGGGGCGAGGATGTGCTGGAATGCTTCTGGTAACAGTCCACGGCAACGAATTACGTCTGATTCATCGTCACTGTGGAGCAAAGGTGTCGACTGTCTCTTCCTCTTCTGAACTCTCTTCTCACCCTCTCTCTGAATTCTCTACTCCTTTTATAGAGAAGAAAATGGGAACGTGGTCCCTAAATTTCATCAAGATGAAGGGGTGGAGCAATTAGAGGAATAATTAGTGGACTGTTGAATTGCTGAGCCACACCAATCGTCAACATATCCAATGCAATTCCTTTCTTTAATCCCCATCTCCCATTTATCTTAGACTTGCAAATTGTATCCCATTTATCTTAGGCTCAGTTTGGAAAAAGTATAAATACAAATATATACAGTGCAAATACATATAAAACAATACAAAATACAAGGCTTTGCACTCTACATATTTGCATTTGTATTCATTCCAAACTAAGCCATAAGTCCCTATAGAAAATTTCTTTGTTTATTCTCCAGTGTTTTAACCAACACTTTGGGAAACTTGAAGGACCTCATTAGGAATTGTGAAATCGTTGAGACAGAAACCTTGAGCAGAATGACCCTTCCTGCCAGAGAAAGGGAGTTTCTCTTCCATCCAGCAAGCTTCTTATTTACATTGTCCTCTACTTGATTAAAAGTTTCTTTGGTTACTCTTCCCTCAATAATTGGGGCCCTAAGTAATTTTCATTTTTCCTTTCAATCGGGATTTTTAGGACTCTAGAGAGGACTTTATGAAGTCTCTTATGAATATTTTTTTGAGAAGAAGATAGTCGATTTTCCAAATTTTGGCTTTTGGCCTAAAGCACTTACGTACATTTCCATGGTTTCGTTGATTCTCAAGGCATTGTCTATGTTTGCTTTCGCAAATATAATGCAATCATCTGCAAATTAAAGATTTGAGATAGTTGATCCAGTTCTCGATGCTTTAAATCCTAAAATTTCCTTGTTTTGATTGTCCTTCTTACTCATGAGTCTATATAGAGATCCATTGTCCTCGTACATCTTTGTGTTGAGCGGTCCAACTTTTGAATCATAGCTTCTGCCTGTATAGACTGCACTATAGATAAGTCGGTTCAATTTTAGAGTAAAATGAACGTCAACCAACTTTTCAACTGTTGAGTTGTGGGGAAATGACATTTGCCCTAGTTTTTGTCTTGACTAAACAATCCTAGGTAAAGGTGTAAATTGGGTCAGGCCGGGCCGGGCCAGTACGACCTACAAGTAACTCGTGCTTTGTGTAGGCCAAACTGGGTTGTGCTTGCCCTTGCCTCCTCTAAGATACTTCAGAGGTTTGGCCCGACATGGCCCATGGCATGATCCCAAGCGGGCCTGGATTGTGCCATGTTGTGCCGCCAGCGAAGCCTTGGGCTAAGCTGGGTCATGGGCTAAGCCAGGCCATGAGAGGCATATTAAAAAAAAATATGAAAACAATGAACATTTAAAAAAAATATGTTCACAAAATAGACAAAAATTTGAAAAATAAAATCTTAAAATTTTATTTTATATGAATCTTGACATATACAATTTTTTATATATGAAATAATAAAGTGAAATTAAAAAAATTACAATACAATTAGAATAAAATAATAATAAAATCAAAAATAAAATTTATACCTATTAATATATTATATATTATTATATAATTATTATTACATACACATATACATATATAAATGTATATAATTATACAATTATATATATATATAATATACAAATAATATA